CTAGTTTCCGTCGGTCTGTCGTTGAAAGTTTTGAAAGTAGACATTTCTTCAAACCTGTTTCAGGACTGACTTCAGTTGTTGTACAGTTGAAAGTTTGGTTCATGTTATAAAACTCGATATTTCGTAACCTTGCAGAACTAAATGTTTGTTTCAGTAGTCATACATACCATTGTATACATTTCTTCAACCTGTTTCAGAACTAACTTCAGTTGTTGTACAGTTGAAACTTTGGTTCATGTTATAAAACTCGATATTTCGAAACCTTGCAGAACTAAATGTTTGTTTCAGTAGTATACATGCCATTGTATACATTTCTTCATCCTGTTCAGTAATTTAATGTTCTGCTTCTAGCGTCCTACAGTTAAATGTTTGTGTAACATGTTCTTAAATAAAGAAGTCTGAAGTTGAAACTTTTCGATACATTATCCCAGTAGTAAACATTTTAACAACTCTGTTCAAGAAATAAAATGTCCTTGCAAAACCTTCAAATTCAAACCTTCGGTTAAAACGTACCTTAAAAAAAAAAAAATCTAACTCGTTGTGTAAATAAATGTTTACGTGCTGTAGTGATAAGGGTTTCAGCCCCACTTGACACATTTGTGAGGGAAATTAAATATCCAAAAATTGCATCTCTAATTAGCTACATTCTTTTATAGAAACAAATGTAAGAAGAAGGTGAACGTTTGGAGTTTTAACTCCTAACAGAACACATCTTTAGAACTTATAAATAATCAACAACCTTTTCTCAGAATTTGAATCATCTGTTGAGTGCCACTATTTCGGTTAAATTGCTCTTTTATTATTCAAAATGTGTGTTTTCTACGGTATAGTATTAAATATTCCCTAACAATATAGGACAAAGACCACAGGACAGATGTTTAGTAGATACGGGTAGGTTATCTCTAATTTGTTGATACATTATAACTATACCTGAAAGAAAACGAGTTTATTGTAGGTTCATGGTCGTCTTTTTGTTTTATTTTTCTTACACGATAACCAGCTGTATCCATTCGTTCCTACAGTTTCGAATCCATAAAGAACGTTGTATGTTTAAACATAGTAAATATTTATAGTTAGTCGTTTCTAAACTATTTATTTTTTCAAAACTGTTGGTTACTGAGTAATAGAAAAATTAATTATCTTCTCAAAAATGATAATCACTGTGTAAATTACGTCTTCCAATGAATGCGGATCACGTGATTAGGTTATAAGTTTGCTAGAGAGAGAGTGAGATAGAATATTCCGTTCTGTTATCAAACAACATAACGTTTAAAGCTTTTCTTCTGTACCTAAGAGACGTCAAATCCCGCCCACTCAAGCAACTCTTCAGTACTCGGCGATCATTAAACGCTATTCCTTGTGTCAGTCGAGCTGATTTACTACATCATAAACCTTGCCTGATTCCTCTTGTGCAGCCGGGTCCAGCCCTTCCTGTCTGGCCGAACACATCGTCGACTTTCAACACAAACTAATGATAACTTCTTCTGATCATTTTAAACCTGGGGTGCTCGTTAGTTCCTGTAATTGCCTCCTATGAGATTATGATATTTGTCTAGAAAGGGGATACGGGCAGCTGAAGGTAAAGTTTGCTTGGAAGGGTGGGGAGAAACCTGAAAGACACGTGTTTTAATTAGGTTCAAATAAATTACAATGTCCTATGCTGTAATTTTATGAGTTCACATTTGTCAAGTTTCAGATGTGCTCGCAGAACACCTGACAAAGCCAAACATCACGTAACAAAAGTCATTTAATTTAATTTGATTAAAAAATAAGTGGCTTAACAAATATTTTAGAGATGAGTATAGTCACAAAGGATCAGTGTTTGAAGCGCCATCTTATGTGAATTCTCTCATGGTAGCGCAACAAAAAACATGTTTCAAAAAATCGTCCCAATTTACAAAAAAAAAAAAAAAGGAAAAAATTACAATGAACTCGGGTATAAATTTTAAAAGGTGTGACATTTACATGTGATAACAGGAAAAACCTAGAACTGCTAGTCAACAACAGATTCCTGTCCTCTGTATTTTGTATAAATTCTTTCCTTCATCATCACTACATAAAAATTGTTACTTTTCCATTTATTTTTTCCCTTCTTTCTTTACTATAGGGAGTGTTGGTACAAGAAGTGGACGAGGGACAGCCATGTCTTCATTGTAAGGACAAATGTCCAGGCTTTAGTCCGCATATCTGGCGGTAGGTGACGCACTTTTTCCTGAAACATTCTGTAGTTAAATTATTATTATTTTTTAGATAAAACCGATGGATATTCAAATAGTAAATACTTCTGAGCTTTCATATAATTTCCTTTTGTAGTCACAAGCACAAAACTGACTAAATGGTGAAAAACTTTTGTACGTAAATTTTATCAGCTTCAGTATTAGAGACAGTTGTGTTAAAGCTATTTCTTATTACTATTTCTGATATCATGCGTCCAGAAGTTTCTCGTATTTTAACATTTTCAGCAATTAAAATCTATATAAAATGAAATTTCTTGACTTCTTATTACTTTTCACTGATAAAACGTTATGATATAATCATTAGAACATTTGGTAACTCTTGAAAGGAGTACCAAGAAAGAAAATTGACTGATAAAGCTAGTATATGAAAAAAGGTCACGTGCTTGACATGATTGTTGAAGTCGTTTGGACTGTATGTTAAACTGAACTTTTTAATTATTTTCTAACTTGTTACTAGGTTGCAAAACTGGTAAGCTTGATGCATATGACGTTAAAATGTAGGATTCTACATTGCGAAACTTAAGGAAACTTAAGTTGCGAAACTTAAGGAACATATATTCTATCTTTCCTTCCTCCTTCACAGCTATTGAAATAAGTTATTTTGTGTAACTAAATCAAATGTTTTGAACTTTTTTAGCTTTTCTTCATTCTTCAAAGCTATAAAGATTTATTCCTAAGTTACAGCTATGAACATAACGTTTTTGTGTAAGAACATTAAATGTTCTGAGTAAATTTTTATCTTTCTTCCTATTTCACAGCTATTGAAATAACTTAATATAACTACATCAAACTGATCACTTTTAACTTTTCTCGCTACTTCACAGCTATTGCAATAACTTAATGTTGTAACTACATCAAACTGATCACTTTTAACTTTTCTCCCTACTTCACAGCTATTATAAAATAAAATATGTTTTTCACAGCTATTACAATAGAATATTTCGTGTAACTACATCAAATGTTCTGAGTTTTCTTAGATCTTTCTTCCTACTTCACAGCAATTGCGATAGCTTATTTCGTGTAACTACATCAAATGTTCTGATTTTTTTAAATCTCGCTTCCTACTTCACAGCAATTACACTAGCTTATTTCGTGTAATTACATCAAATGTTCTGAGTTTTCTTAGATTTTTCTTCCTACTTCACAGCTATTACACTAGCTTATTTCGTGTAATTACATCAAATGTTCTGAGTTTTTTAAATCTTGCTTCCTACTTCACAGCAATTACACTAGCTTATTTCGTGTAACTACATCGAATGTTCTGAGTTTTCTTAGATTTTTCTTCCTACTTCACAGCTATTACACTAG